CATTTTGGGGATTGGGACCTATTTTGAATAAAGAATTTAATAGTGAGGGCATTTTGGTCATTTCTTAAATCAAAATGACTTAGGGCTTTTTGTGCCCGTGCTCGATGTATGATCAGGCAAAATTAGAGAGGCACGACTCAAACACAAGGCATATGCAAAAGAAGGAACTGAGGCAAAGAGAAATCGGAAGCAAATCAGTTGGGAGGGAAAAAAACTCGATCCTCGTCTGATCGGGGAAAGGAATCAGCATCGATTTCGACTGATTGAGAAGACGACCGAACGGGATCGTCATGGAAACAATGGAGGGGAAAGCTGGACACGAACGAAGCAGCGGGGGAATAGGCGTACAAGGGTATCAGCGCTTCGTTGGTCGATTAATCGCGATGAGGGAGTGTTTCCGGGTCACCGAGTTCGAAGAGAGGGAAAGGGGAGGACCTCTAGGGTTTGGATAGATCGAAGGAAGAAGAAGAACGAAGCTGCGGTGATCTTTGGTGGTTCCAGCAGTAGCAACATCACCGTTGATGGTGGTGGGGTTTTCTCGGTGGTGGGTCACGATTGAAATCAAAATCAATGGGAGGTTTGATCCTCGTCTGAAGGAACGAACAAAAGAGGAAGCACTTTTGGTCCTTATTTGATCAATGAAGAAAATGAACGACAAGGTCAGGCAACAATTTTTGGTCTAGTGGTTTTGAGTTTATGGATGGTGAGTAAATGAGGATGGAGCACCATCGGGGCTTCACTATTTCGAAGAAAGAAGAAAGAGGGGAGCGAGAGTTAGGCAGTCGCGGTTATTTTGCCGACCAGGGCTAACCTCCCATTGATTTTGATTTCAATCGTGACCCACCACCGAGAAAACCCCATCACCATCAACGGTGATGTTGCTACTGCTGGAACCACCGAAGACCACCGCAGCTTCGTTATTCTTCTTCCTTCGATCTATCCAAACCCCAGAGGTTCTCCCATTTCCCTCTCTTCGGACTCGGCATCCCGAAAACACTCCCTCATCGCGATTAATCGACAAACGAAGCGCTGATACCCTTGTACGCCTATTCCCCCGCTGCTTCGTTCGTGTCCAGCTTTCCCCTCCCTTGTTTCCATGACGATCCCGTTCGGTCGTCTTCTCAATCAGTCGAAATTGATGCTGATTCTTTTCCCCGATCAGACGAGGATCGAGTTTTTTCCCTCCCAACTGATTTGCTTCCGATTTCTCTTTGCCTCAGTTCCTTCCTTTGCATCTGCCTTGTGTTTGAGTCGTGCCTCTCTAATTTTGCCCGATCATAATGCTTTTGGCTTGCTATTGTTCGATTCATACAGATCTTCCTCTCTTTTCTTCTTCTTCTTCTTCTTCTTCTTCTTCTTCTTTTTTGAAAGGAATTGATGAAGGAAGGTGGATGTTTAGGATTGATGTTTTACAGAGAAGTGAAGGAGAAGAAATGGATGTTTGATGATCTCTTGGTTTGACTGATTTGTCAAGAACACACCTCCAATGGAGGTGTTCTTGACTGGAACGAAGGAGAATAGTGAAGGAAACTGCATGTTGCGTCTTTGATGTTCATTGACAGAAATCAGTGCAGAAAGAAAGAGCTATAGAGGTGTTTGAGTGTTGTATTCAGTTTTTGTTTGTGTGTTGTATTGGTGATATTAATGTGTGTTGTATTCAGTTTTGATTGTGTGTTGATTGTTTGTGAACCAATTTATCAGTTGATGTGTAGAAACTATACCACCATACCTGTGAGATGTAGTGAGGGAGAAGAAAAGAAACGTGGGAATGAAAAGGTTGGAGTGTAAGAGTCAATCTTTGAGTGTTCACTTGTGTAAAACAAGTCTCGGAAGAAATCATAAATGTGTTGTCATTTTAAGTGTAAAGGGTATAAGTTTTATCTTTAATATTTTATATAATGTATTTAATGTATGTGTATTTGATTTAAATAAATATCTATTTGTGCATGAATTTACATAATATATTTGTTGGTACAATTGATTCAATGGTATGTGTTTGGTTGAAATTGAGTATGTATTGATGCATATATATGCTATATACATGTATGTATTTATTTATCTCATGGAAAACAATACTTTTATACATATCGTGTATACATACACCTTTTATTACCTTGATATATACATATGGAGTATATTCATATAAATTGACATTTATATATATAATGGAGGTGCCAAGACCCTAACCATGTCAAGTCTCGGTCCTTAAACGTCATACATGATTGTTATATATCCATGTGTATATGTTTGGGTCTTTTGGTAACAATTTCATATACATATAACGTATATTTACTTATTTTATAGGTTATATATATTTTATGAAAGCTATAGTGACAACACGTGTAATTAATATTAAATTCTGCTCTATACACGTATGTATGTAGTTATACATGAATTTAAAAATTATAAGATTATTTCTATTGTTAAAATTCACATCAACTGGATTTGGATTTTTATATTATTCCGAAATACATAACCAATCATAGTAATCATGTCGAAATCAATAGTTTAATGTTTCGCAGTTAATAAATCTGAACATGTCTGATTTCTCAACCTTTATAAATATTTTTACTAAAAATATTTCAAATATGAAATTAAATATTAGGCTATAGCCTGAGTCTAAAAATGCTTTCGGAATTTCCATTTGAGGTGTGCAAGTCCCTCAACGGATAGAAACGGTTTTAACGATTTTAAGAAAATCAGTATTGTACTGGTTTTTTATTTTTAAAACGGTCGTATCTTTTGCATATGAACTCCGTTTTGGACGTTCTTTATATTTTCGGAATCATGGAAATGCGTACTATGATACTAGAGTGTTTGCTTTGCTCGCAAATGCTTATTGCAAAATTTCAGTTTTTCAGACGTATTCTTAAGTTGCAGTTTGAGATGTTTGATTTGTTTGTCAAATTACATATTTGGAAGTAAGATACCATCTGGTATCTTATAATAGTTGAAATAACTCATTTATTTTACATTGGATGCACTAAAACTCAATGAGTCAAAATACCAAGAGACTTACTGTGAACTTGACCGTTCACAGTCTTTGACCTAAATTCTTGGATGTCATAGGTCTACAAGATTTTTTTACTTGGAATGTCCTTTTAGTACTCATCCAAGAAGCCCTAACCACGAATGGATACATCTATAGAGTACTTCCACATATTGCCACTATTCTAACATTATCACACTTTTTTAAACGAATTTGATAACCCTTACTAATAGCATAGATAGTTAAAAACATTTTATCTCATGTGGGGATTTATACCTTTCACCAAGTATTGGTTTCATTAAGTTCCGGTTCACCTTTGGGTTGTGGATGGAATACTCGAAATCATCCTCGGTCTCTTCTTCATCATTACTTTGCACATACTCTGAGTCCGATCCTTGGTTGTGGATTTGAGGTTGAGCATTATTTTGAGCTTGAGCATCATCAGTTGCATCATCATCAGCGTCTTCTTCACAGAGAATATTCATAAATTCATCTCTGCATTGGGAAATTAGTTCTCTTAAAATAATCATCGAGCTCCACAATTATACTATCCAAATCATACACGTCGTCCATTTTCCTCCTTCAAGATGGGTAAAACCCCTATTTTACTGAGGTGGGTGAAACGAGAGAAGGAAGAATGGAAGAAAGGATTAAATTTCAGGGTTTCTTCACTTAATGAGGGTGTTTGTTTTTACCTCAGTCCACATAAGCCATTGAATGCCAAATCAGCAAATGCAACCGGCTAAATAAGGGTGATCGGATAAAAAGGACCAACGTGTTCAATTTACTCGGTATCATGGGTTATTTTTTTCAAAAAAAAAGACTAAAATGAAACTTTTCCCAAAAGTTTGAAATTTTTCTGGAGATTTCCTTTTAACTTTTAAGTGTGTTTGGTATTTAATTTTTCAAGAGCTTTGATATTACCATCTACCGTATTAGGAAAATTTAAAGTTTAAACTTACGTTGACGTGTCCCATTTTCCTCCACTGCTTTAAATTTTAAACTCATTGTAGAAATTAATAATAAATAAATAAATAAATTGGATCGAGTTTTCAATCTCAGTTATTCACAAAACTATCATTCACACAAGCCACATTCATGTTTCATAATGTTCAAGAACATGAAAAATGTCATTCATAAAACCTCTATACATGTTGGTATATATATTTACCAACATATACTAACTAAACTTATTGGTAGTCAAATAAGTTTTAGCAAAATAAAAAAAAAAAAAGTTTAACAACTATAATTCGTATTTTATACGGTTTAGAAAAAAAAAAAATAATAACTACAACTGTACCGATTCCAACCCCAATGAACATGGATCCATAATTGTATGTTATGGTCATTGTTTTTATTGCTTCTATAACGTGTTTTTTGGATCGACGCATTCCAACAATCAGAAAATACAATAGGTAGCCTGTAACTAATTAGTTTGACATAATTAGGTAGTTAATAATTCTGTTAATTAAAGTGTTAGATGGTTAACAATTCAATTATATATTGTAGTTGTGTACATTTAATAAGTTAGTCAAGTAATGAACTCCACTCACAATATTACTTCGTTTTCTTCTCTACAATATGGAATTGCGACACCTATGCTCCTTCTTTTCCTCTAACAGTCGATCTATTTAATCGGATCAAAATTACATCCTCTATCATTGATCCTATGATCTTTATGATCTTTTATCAGACAGATGTATTCTCAAATTCCAAGATATTCATGAACAGGAGATTCTTATCTATTTCATTACATGATGGGCTTGTAGGGACTTATGAAATGGTATGTAAATGAGTCCATTTTGAAAAAACCAACAGTAAAGTAGTTGAATTTTAATTGTAATTCAGTGTCATCATATCCGATAACAAACACAATCTTACGAAAGAACCAACACAACACCTATCATCACAACCATTTTTGTAGCAATAAGGTTAACCCAAAAGCCCAAGTAATAGCGACATAATTTTTTCTTCTTAAATAACTGGAAATTAACCTTAGTTCCCTTGCATTCCATGATATTAAGAAATACCAAGGTTCATTTACAAATTACAATATATATAATCATTATCATTATGGCATCAAATAAGAGCTTAAGTCAACTCCACAATGAATACTATTAACAGCTCCCTTAACTCAAATCACCTGATCCTCGAGCTTTACTTAATGGGATCAATTGTGCTGAAAAGGGGCTGGAACCATGTATACATATTTATAGGAAGGAATTTATTTACAAATGGGTTGGTTGATAATGAGAAAGAGAGGAAGATCTAGAGAAGCTCCCATTCTGAGTCTATTGAGTTGGGTTTTTTGTTATCTGAAAACATGAGATTGTTGTCATATTGTAGTTGCTTGTACTCTTGCTTCCTTGCTGACTTCTTTTTTAAAGAAAACGCACCCTGAATCTTTTTCTGCAATGCAAAAGGTATTTTTGTAGTCAGTCTTTATTTGTTACATATTTTACTAAAAGTAAAGAAATGTAAATATATATAAATATATACCTTGTATGAGCATCTTGTTTGTTCATTGTGGTTGATAGGAATAGGAATAGGATGATGATAATCATTTCCATCAACTAAAACACATGTTTCCTCAAACCCTGATTCAGATACATATATATCTCCAGTAGTAGTATTGTCTTCCTGTTCCAAATCTGGATGATCATGGTGTGCTGAAGCTGAACTTCCTAAATTATTTAACATTAACTAACATATATTATTGATTCTTCCAAAAAAAAAATATATCAATAAATTTATGTACCATAACTAAGGGGCTGTTTGTTTTTTTAAACAAATCACTTCTGGCTGCGCCATGCAGAACACACGCAGTACTTGGCCTTTCGCAACTATTTTTTTTTTTAATATTTTTGTCTTTAAAAATCATATCATCACAATGAATTTTATATTCGATTTGCATATCATTAAAACTAAATAAATTTTTGATTTTGAATTATTTTTAACTATTGTATGGTTAATTTCAGTTTATTTCAGCAGCATGCTGCCGTTAAAAAACAAACATACTTCTTATTATAGTTTGCAGACGTTTGGTCCACCTCTTCTTCTGCAGAGGGTTGCAGATGTGGTCCACAGACTGTAGACGTTTTAACTTCGAAAAAACAAACAGCACCTAAGGTGTTGTTTCTTTTTGACTTAAAGAACTTAATCGAGTGTTTCTTTTTTTGACTTAACACAAAAAGAACAACTTAATAGAGAAAGTAAGGAAAATTTTCGTCAATTTTTTTCTTCCATTTCCACAAGTGTGTCTTCATTTTCTCAAATACTCTTTATGCATCATTTATCTTAATGGAAAACAAAAAAAAAAAAAAAAAAAAGGAATTGGGTAATGATAGTTTACCTGTATGGGATTGTAATAACTCATCATCAACAGATTGACCACACTGAGTATTAGCACTAACGGTTGGGTGGCTACTATTTTCACATGGATCTGCAACCAAAAGAGCAAATAGAAGTGAATATTCTTGACACATAATAGCAACAAACTTAAGATTCTTTACCCATAAAAGCAATACTATATAGTTACATTTCATTACTAATATGTAACACGTAAAGTCCAATGTTCATATTGGTAGCATTAGCAAAAAGTAACTACTTTGTGATGTAGACTAGGGTTTAATTGCAGAATTATAGACTAAAATCAAAGAATACAAAGGGTTCTTGGCTTTCGCGAGGCCAAGTGATCTCTCACTCATGACTCAACTAATTCTGTTCAAAGATACTAACCGACTCAACCTAAACTTGTATTTAAGCTACCTAAACCAACTTAACAAGGGAACTTACCAAATTCCCCCCTCACTTATCTTTTATTACATTTCTGGTACTTCTACTTATTTCTGTTAGGGCTACTAAGAAGTTATTGCCAATTTTAAGGAAGGTATATTGGTGTTAAGATATACCTGAATGGGACACATCTCCACCACTTGAAGTATTAGAATGAGCCTCTGAAACCTCCAACTCACTACTTTCACATGTAGCTGTATTTGTATGTTCTGTTCTTATGATATTGTTAGAGGAGATACATTTGGATCTTTTCACTCCCTTTCTACTCGATTTAGCAAATTTAGTAGTGAGTGTTGGAGAAGCCCCCTTGACCAAATTACATATTTGCCCCTCCTGCCCTCCTCTTGTCTCCAACTCTATTATATCTTCATTTGATGCTTCCACACACTTTGCTTCATCTTGATCACTTATATCCCAATTAAACGACCAGTCTTCCCAAGCATCATTGCTAGAGTTCAATTTATCCTCAGAAATACCATTTTTGTCCTCATAAATACCCTTCACATGGACAGGAATAGGATCTTGATCTTTAATTAAAACATCTTCCTTGAAGGTTGATATGGGCTTCATGTGTATTCCAAATTCAAGATAAGGGTTTAATAGTAATTCTGCACTTGCAACTTTAGAGAGATCTTTTGATGAAGGGGGAAGCAAATCCTGCATCACATCAGAACAGAACTTTTTCATACTTGCCCCCACTGTCTGGACTTGATTTTCAACATATTTAGCTGTTTCCTGAGATAAATGAATATTTATTTATTTATTCATTTATCTATATATAAATAAATAAACCTCGCTAAATGAATATCTTTTATTACTTTATCCAGGTTTACAGTTTACTGACTGGTATATACAAGATTCTTGACAGATATAGAAAATTCATAAATGGTCCCTGTGGTTTCCCAGAATATCAAATTTAGTCCATAACTTTTTTTGGTCTCATGGAAGGTCCCTGTGGTTTCAAATTCTATCATGGTTTCCCAGAATATCAAGTTAGGGACTAAACTTGATATTCTGGGAAACCACAGGGACCATTTATAAAAATTAGTCAATAAAGAATGATATAGTTATACCTGACACATAGCTTCTTCAACCTCTAAGCACATAGCTTCAAACTTTTGATAGATATTACCAACCCATGCAATACCTTTAACATCCATGGAATCCATATATCAACTTTGTCACAACAATCAAGAAACCTTGTCTTCCAAAACCTCCAAGATATTACCTGGATCAATATTAGAAAATATTTAAAAAGGAAAACCATTATTGATATGCTTGAAGAAAAGATTCATAACAATTACACCTTTTGTTTTGACTAAGTGTTGTCTGAATAAATGATGTTTAAAAATTAAGGAGAAAATGATAGCACTCGGGAAATGGAAGGAAAAGTTAAATAAGGGAAAATTTGTAAAATGTTAAATAAAGGAAAACCATTATCCTGTTCTGAATTGTATAACAATAGATAAAACAAGGCATAAAAAGCACCCTAATTTAGGTCTAATCATCACAGTGGTAGAACTCTAACGTCAAGTGAGCATGATCAGATCCGAAAAAGTGCAAGTAAAACTCTTTTTACAAATAAATAGATTTTAAGAAAAATGAAATCATATGGTAACTTCCTGATAAAGCATAAAAGCAAACCTACCACCAATGCGTCTTCTTGGATTATTGAATTTTTATCATCACTTCTGATTACTCAAAACCACTTGAATCGAAAGATTCTAATATAAGGCAAATGGTTTCGTGGCATAAAGTCAAATCATGATCATCGATTATGTCCAACAACAATAGATGATCATTACAAGCCAACAATTCATCGACTTAAAAAATACTTCAAAATTCAACAACAGATATACACATGTCGATGATCAGAAATCAACACAGAAAAACACCGTCAACATAATATGAATACCGCAATCCGACAAATAAGTAAAATACAGAGAAAGCAACAGAGAACAGAATCACTTACGATTTGCAGATGATCAAGAGAAACCCTAGAACCGCAATTGATTTTGGTATTTTTGAGGGGGAAACCCTAGATGATGATGATGGAGAACGAACTTGTGGGAAGAATTGAGGGTTTAGGGAAAGAGTTTGAGTAAGGGAATCAGAAACGTAGACACGGAGTTAACCTGGGTTTGGGTTTGGGTTTCTTTAACACTTTCTATATTATTTGTACACGTGTCGTATTGATATCGTCACCCAAGTTAAAAACAAGACAAAACAAAACACAGCTTTAATTATCACCAACTCTATATAAAGAAAAGAGTCAGAATATCGTTAGATGGTTTGACTTTGTTTTTATCTCGATTTAATTGATGGATAAACAAATCATTTTCAATCCATTGCTTTCAGATAAATTTGTTGCGTTTGAAGAGAGAATAACAAAAATAATCGATAATTCTCAAATTATTTTATTTGAAATATAGATAATTGTATATTTCAATAATTTGAGAATTATTTGAAACACAGCTTTAATTAACCTGAAGACTTCACTCCCTACGTCAATATGTCAATCAGATACATAATTTAGAGTATCATCAAGGCATCAATTATTATTACAATTTGTTTTAATTCATATTTTAAAAATTATTTTCTTATTGCTAAATGCATTTTTTCAGAGGTATTAAATTTTATTTGACTTTGTGGATTGATTTTGCTCAACAAATGTATTGATTATTTTCTAATCGCAATAAGCGGGAGGATTGAAAATAAGTAAATTAATACGGTAAGACAAGTGGGAGGATTTGCTCAACAAATGTATGATTATTTCAAGTATGTTTACTCTCTTCAATTTTAAAAAAATGATATTAAATATTAGTCATCAAATAGTTATAATTAAAACACTGAAAAGAGTTATAATTAAAAACTGAAAAGTTACTTCTTACTTAATAAAATTCTTAGGTAACTGAAAATAGTTACTTTACTAATTTGTAGTACTAGAAGAGAGAAATTGTCTAATGTTGTAGTTGATCTTTAACTAAAAATTAGAACAAATTTGATAAGGTTTTAACTTTGTTCACATTAAGTCCTTAAGGTTTTTTTACATATTACATCAACATTGTTGTTATAACCGTTTAAAAAAAAAGTAATAAGATTTTAATTTTGTCCACATTATATATCCCTAAGGTCTTTTTTTGTACATATTACACCAACATGGTTGTTATAACTGTTTAAAGAGAGGTAATAAGGTTGTAATTTTGTCTACATTAGGTCCCTATTTTTAATATTTTTATCATTTCATCTACCTCTTTTACAATTTATATTAGTATCTAGTTAGATGGCTTCATCATTTCATCTTCTCATTTTAGTCGTCTATTAACCATAACCACGGTTTCAATTGAAAGGTTACATAACAATTTTTTGTTATATTTACCAATAAATAAATAATCTAAGTCTTAATGATTAAAGCTATATTTGGCGCGCCACAGCTAGCTGACAAGCTAGTTTATTTTTCGATCTTTTTTATGTTGTCATATTTAGGAAGCCAAAAAGAAGCTTATAAGCTAGCATTTTAAAAAGCTACTTAGACTAGTTTTTTAAAAGTTTTTTTTTTAATTTCCAAATGGGTAAATGTCACTGAAGCCCAACCAACTATCAAGTTTTGTTTTAAATGGTCCCTTATGTTTTTTTTCTTGCATTTAAAGGGCATAAAATTCATATTAACCTGTTTATTAAGGACCTAAGACTTGTTTTACTATGCCAAATCAGATGCCACGTATATAAAATTTAAGGCACTTTCACCTTCAATGCCAAATTACCATTCAACCGTCCCCATCCTAAGTTCTCATTTCTCTGTGATTTTTTTTCTTTTCCTCTGAATCATAACTTATCTATTCAATACATCGATTTCTCCATCTCATTGATTCAAGAAATATTTGTGTTATATCACATTCTCATCTGATTACATCATAAGGATTTATTCATGATTTAGATGTTCTTCAACACGTGTTTGTGGGATTCAAACTCCACCAACAACCATCTCCTACTACCAGTTCTCCACCATCGTCCGCTTACCACCGATCATCATCATCGTTCACCTACATGGGATTTGAAAAATGATTTAAAGCACAACACAGTAACTCTTACAATAGGAGTGAGGCACACAAGAGAAGAGGTTGAAGGGAAGAGGTATAAGAACCATCGGTTGCAGATTTGAAGCAACGAACATAGATCAGACACCTGTTCGACATCACGATATTTCGTCTTCAAACCCAATATTTTTCCAAATTTCCAGATTTAGGTTGTGACGGAGCTGAGGAAATTCAGGGGTTCTAGGAAGAGTCGTCGTCTTTAAACATCGTGAAACTGATGTGTTACATTTCAAGCAAAATTGAAGAGGTTAACTCGATATTCTCTATCAATTTTAGGGCTTCTAAATTGTCTTCTTCACAGATCAATTTGAGAACCTTGCAAACTACAGAGGTCGACTCATTATGAAGGAACTAGGTCTGAGATATGGGATGAGACAAGAGGCAAATTACATGTTTTTGTTACAACTGTAGGGACAGGTGGCACTATAGCTGGTGTTTCTTGATTTTTAAAGGAAAATGATGCAGGGATAAAGTTTTATCTTCTGGATCCTCTTGGTTCTGGCTTGTTTAACAAAGTGACAAGATTAGTGATGTACACAAGAGAAGAGGCTAAAGGGAAGATGTTAAAGAACCCATTTGATACGGTCAATGAAGGAATAGGGATCAATAGATTGACTGAGAATTTCAAAATGGCTTAACTTGATGGAGAGTTCTAATATTTTTGCTCCTTTTATTAGATTCCTTCTAAGGAATGATGGACAATTTATTAGAAGTTTTTCAATAATGAAATGTGTTGGTCGTATGTTGTATGTTGCTGGTGGTGGTACTGTTCGTGATGCTAAGAGTACAACCCACTACTGCTGGTGTCACTGTGACTTTTATTTAGTTTGAAACACAACCTTCACATACATAATCAGATAGCTACAGTAGCTGTTAAAAGTCAATGAACACGTAGGCGAAATAGGAGAGTATATGGCATAATTAGACCATATGTGGAACATAAACCGGATAGAAAAGGTTAAAGTGCCCAAATTGGCCGGTAATAATCAAGTTCATGCCCTTATAATGCAAAAAATTTAGATGAGGGACCTTTTAAACCAAATCATGTTAGTTTATAGGGTTATAGTGACATTTACCCTTTCCAAATATATCCCTTAATTAATTAAGAAAACATATTTTTTAAATGCCCTTTTATGTCCTATAAATTTGGGATAGCTTATAAGCTAGCGGAGCCAGGGTCAAAGTAAAAGAGTATACCCGAAGAGTAATGGGGTATCCCCGATAAGTAATGACTTACCACATTACTTGTTGGGGATACTCTTTTACTTTGAACCTGACTCGCCACTGGCTTATAAGCAATCTGAAATTTATATAATGACATAAAAGGGCATTTAAAAAATATATTTTCTTAATTAATTAATGGGTATATTTGGAATTTTTTTTAATAAAAAAACTTTTAAAAACTAGTCTAAGTAGCTTTTTAAAACGCTAGCTTATAAGCTACTTTTTGGCTTGTCAAACATGACAACTTAAAAAAAATTGAAAAATAAACTAGCTTATCAGCTAGCTGTGGCACGCCAAACATAACCTTAATCATTAAGACTTTGATTATTATTAGTTTTTTTGTAAAATGACAAAAAAAAAATGTTATGTAACCTTTCAATTGAAACTGTGGTTGTGGTGAATGGGCGACTAAAATGAGAAGATGAAATGATGAAGCCATCTAACTAGATACTAATATAAATTGTAAAAGAGTTAGATGAAATGATAAAAATATTAAAAATAGGGACCTAACGTGGACAAAATTAAAACCTTATTACCACTCTTTAAACGGTTATAACAACCATGTTGGTATAATATATACAAAAAAAAGACCTTAAGGGCCTAATGTGAAAAAATTTAAAATTTATTATTTTTTTTTAAACGGTTATAACAACTATATTGGTGTAATATTTACAAAAAAAAAAAAAAAAAAAAAAAAAAAAAACTTTAGGACCTAATGTGGACAAAGTTAAAACATTATTACCCTCCTAGGTCGTTAACCCTGTACCACTACCATGTTGTACCAACCAAATAAGTTACTACCAAGTATATTTGGTATGGTATTATACTTTGTACTAGGGCTATCAAATATGTATCATGGAGAGTCAACCAATACGCTACCAACTGAACCAAGAGAATTGGTTACCGATATGTTTGGCTGGTAGTACCATACCAACTTAGTATATTTGGTATAGTAATGGTATTAAATCTTAAATACCACAGTATTACCATACCAACCAGGGCCGTCCCAATACGATTTGAGGCCCGGGGCAAAAAAAAATGGGGCCCTTCACAATAGATATATAAATATAAATTTTATTTTTGGTAAAGGAGGGCGGAACCTCCGAAAATTTTATTAATTATAAAAAAAATTAATACAATTGCAAGCTGGGGACTCCCCACCTATGAAAAGGAAAAAGCTTTGGGACAGGCCTCAAAAGCCAAAAATCTAAAACTATAAATATAAAACAACAAAATAAAAAGACTATAACATGTTCAGGGGCGGAACACGAGTACTACGACCCAGGGGGCCGAAACTAAAACCTCGTAAATGTATAAACAAGTTTATTATTATTCAAAGTTGTAAATAAGAAACTCAATATGAAATATTATTACATTTCTCATCAATCTTTTGTGTTATTTACTTGAATTGTTTTACAAAATTTATAATTGTACTCTAACGACAATTAAGAAATTACAAAACTAACTAATAATTAGTAAATATAAAAGAAAAAATTAACATTTAACATACACATTCATAACAAACAAAATAAACTCTACTTTTCTAAATTTTCCGTCTTCACAAATACGTTCTTGATTTAATAAAAACTCATAAATTAATAAATAACAGATAACAATAAATAAATATATTGCAGCCTTTAGCTTTACAATGAGAGGTTTTTCAATTACTTTTTTACATCTTTTTCACATCCCAACGTCTTATCTAATCACATTTTAGAAACAAAAAGAAAAAGATAGAGAAAGAGAAGAGGGTGAGAAAGAGAAAAAAACTTTACCAATTTGGAGCACAAAGTTCAGCAAAGAGATTATAGAAGGAATGACGAGCACTCCGGCGGTAGTGACGATGTTCGCTGCTGAGAACTCCGGAAGATTTGAGGAGCGGCATTATT